GTAATTAGTTACTTTTTTATGGAGTAACACAATATTGTAATGCATTACTTTTAAAAGTAACTTTCCCCAACACTGCACATCACCGCCCAATCATCAAACAGCTCCTTCTGTGTCAATGACCAATCAACAGGCAGCAGCCTGTCAGTGACGTTTCAGCATGCGCCGGAAGTGTGGAGGAGCGCTCGGCTCGATCGGCATGACTTTCCATCAGGAGCTGCAGGCCGCAGATCGATCAGACAAAATGCGGTTTTTAGAGGCATAATAGCGGATTTGTCTCATGACAGGACCGCGCAGCTCCGCTTGAGGCCGCTGGATGGAGAAACAGCAAATATAGCGAGCTAACCGGGTGAGTTAGCGTGTGTCTGAGAGGTCAAATGAAGTGTAATGTACTTCTGATGGGCGAGAGGAGGCACACAACATAAGCTGCTTTTTGTTTTGGGTCTAGTGTAATGCGCATGCGCAGTAGATAGGAGGCCTCTGTCATTTTTGCAGCTTCACCATGAAAAGGTCACTATGACTGATAAACATTCAGCTCTGTGTCAGAGCCAAAGAACTGATGGAGGACAGAAGAGTCATTAATGGTGGTACATAGTGTCTCTTAGATCTGTCATTGAAAAGAGCTGCATCAAGGTAGTATGGTCCCTCAAAATTCAGGAAGTTAGTTTAAAGCTTAAATTATTATTTTCAGAAGTAAAAATGTTTTAATTTTTATATTGGATTTCTAATCTAATGCGATTTTGCCACTGACAACATCCCAGTTATATTAACACATTGTTTTAAACAGGCCAATTCTAAATATGATGCTATAAATAAATATATAATATAATATTTATATAATAATAATTTTCTTTAATGTTTACACAACATAAATATAATTTTAAAATAAATATTAATTTTAAAACTTTTGTTTTATTTTGACAGGTATAATCCTGAGGAATGTGTGGTGTTCTAGTAATTTACAGATAAATATAAAATAATTACATTGTTTTTAGTAATAAAATTGTGCTTTATCTTTTAAATGCCAAGCCCTATTTTTCTGGATAATTCTAAATATGATGCTATTAATGTTTACTTTAGAACAACAGGGATAATTAAAAAAAAATAAGTATCTATTATTGTTTTTTTTATTTTATTTTGAAAAGTATAATTCTGTGGAAAGTATGGCATTCTAGTGATTTAGAAATTAATATAAAAAATAAGATTTTAGAAACATTCAGACTTGCGTGTTGTTCGTGGTCAAAAAAAAAAAATGCAATGCTCCAAATAATTATTACATTCTTTTTAAGAATTTTATTTTATTTTTTAATGGTTGGTGATATTTAATTTGTAATCTAATGCAATTGCTAAACCCTATTATTCTGGTTAATTCCAAATATGATGCCATAAATATGATTTTTAATGTTTACTTTGGAACAATAGAGATGTCATTTAAAACCAAATATTTATTAAAATCTTTATTATTATTATTATTTTGACAGATATAATCCTGGGGTACATATGGCATTTTTAGAATTAGAGATTATTGTAAGATTTTAGAAAACATTTAGATTTACATCATTAATAAAATGTAATTTTTATTAATTGTATTGCATTATACGTTTATGATGGATGTTGTTTTATTATCATTTTTATTAACACCTTTTTTAGTTTTAAAAGTGATCTTATTTTGTTGTTTGCTCAGTGTGAACTTGTTCATACAAAAATGCATACACAGTTATTAATTTATTATATTAATAATAAATATTTTTACCCCCTTTGGCAAATATAAACAAAACCTATGCATAAAATGCATTGGAAAATTGGCAAAAAAATAAACCATGAAGGCAGGGTAAACCGTTTAAAGACATTTTAATGGAACCTTCATTTACCAAAAAATAAATAAATAAAATTAAGTTAAGATTAAGAGCTGTTGGGATGTAAAAATGTACGTATTTCACAGATTTCAGATGTTCAATATCTGCTTTTTTGTTTACATGTGTCAAGAAATTATCTCTGCAGAGCATATGATTATGGCATAACCCAGCAGTCACATGACCTCTGAACTCTGTACCTTCAGATCTGCAACACAACATGCAGCTTATTTGAAATGTCGTGATTTTGTCATTTCAGGTTGAGCAGGAGAGGAGCGAGTGTGTGTGTGTGTGTGATTTTGTGTGTGAGGTCACCGGCGGCAATGATGGAACAGAAGTGCAACATTCAGATCATTGAATGGGAAGATCTGGACAAGAGGAAGTTCTACTCGCTGGGCGTCTTCATGACCATGATTACACGGGCCACCGTCTACCCGTTCACCCTGATCCGCACCAGACTGCAGGTCCAGAAGGGGAAGTCGCTCTATAACGGCACCTTCGACGCCTTCTGGAAGATTCTGAAGGCCGAGGGGGTGCGTGGCCTTTATCGAGGGTTCATGGTCAACACGTTGACGCTTATCTCAGGTCAGGCCTACATCACTACCTACGAGCTGGTACGGAAATACGTGTCCTGTTACTCGTCCAATAACACGGTCAAGTCTCTGGTGGCGGGAGGCGCGGCCTCACTGGTGGCCCAAAGCATCACGGTGCCCATCGACGTGGTGTCCCAGCAGCTGATGGTGCAGGGTCAGGGCTGTCAGCTCACACGCTTCAAACTCAAGCCCAAGAGAGTGATGGCCACGTCCAAACACAAAGTGACATTTGGTCAAACCAGAGACATTGTGGTTCAGGTTTTTCACACGGATGGATTTCGGGGCTTTTATCGTGGATATGTGGCGTCGCTCCTCACCTACATACCCAACAGCGCCGTCTGGTGGCCATTTTATCACTTTTATGCAGGTAAAGAAAATAAATATTTAGTGATGCTCTAAAATTATTTTCTGACCCAAACACAGAAACACTGAAACCAAAATTTAAAGGGATAGTTCACCCAAAAATGAAAATTACCCCATGATTTACTCACCTTCAAGCCATCATAGGTGTACATGACATTCTTTTTTCAGACGAATACAATCGGAGTTATATTAGAAAACATCCTGGCTCTTCCAAGTTTTATAATGGGAGTGGATGGTAGCCCAAAATTTGAAGTCCAAAAAATTGAACCAATTCATTATAAAAGAAGTCCACACGGCTCTGGGGGGTTAATAAAGGCCTCCCGAAGCGAAGCGATGCGTTTGTGTAAAAAAAAAAATCCATATTTACAACTTTATAAACCTTAATCTCTGGCTCCCGCTAACTGTCATACACGCATTCACGAGAGTGTGGCGTACAGTGGATGATGTAGGCGTAGCGTAAACTCCGGTGAGAATATGCTAGTCTCGCAAGAAACAAGTTTTGTTTACAGCAAAGGAAAACCAGTGTCCTCTGCTTATATTGAAATCCTCCGAAAAAAATAGTTTTTTTCAAATCTTCGTTTTGTACTACTAATTCGTGACCGGTGTTTTGTTTTCCTCTCTCCTCTGCGCTTCCGCGTTCGTCACTTCCGTGTTTGCCTATGTGCTACGCCATCCGCTGGACGCCACTCTC